TATGTTTAGTATATGGCTTTTGTAAATGCTAAGAGCTTTTGTTTTCCTGTTCTTCTCATCTTTCGCATGGAGTTTGCATGTAGAAACCTAAAGCCTCATCCTTTTTCACGTTTGCTTGTGCCTTCTTGCATGTGGACGGATAGAGACACGGGTTGTTTTGCATGTAGACCTGAGATTTAAATTACGCTCACGGACATATTTTTAGTCACGTTATGTTTATTACGATTGCGGATATAATGGATATCATTGCGGTCATTACGATTATCACAATCGTGATTTTTTTTCAAATTTGCACAACTTGTTATAAGACATAGTAATTATAATTATACTAATAAATTTTTTTTCATGATTTCTAAAGTAATTAATGACACCTTATCTTATTTTATTTATATAAAAAAATTATTTACAATTTTTTAATATTATAGTAAAATATTCACATTTAGAAAATTAACAACATACAAATATTAAAACAATAAAATCATTAATAAAATCCAAATAAAAATAGAAATCAAGAATCAAATTAATATATTAATCATTTAATATTTTATTTTTTTCATCTAAATTATAATATAATATACCTTTTAAATTTACATTAAACTCTTTCATCTCAAATTTTTCAGTAAAATTTAATTCTCAAAACTTTTCAATTTTAACCAATAATTTCTTCCCAAAATTTTATCCCTAAATTTATTAAAAAAAAAAAACCTAATTTTTGTTTGATCAAGTATTGACCGAAAAGAGAGAATATTCCAAATTAGCGATATGCCATTCTAGAACTTGCCTCTCTTCCTCTGTACTTTAGCCAAGGCATACAACTACCAGAGCTTTTTCAAAACTGATCCCAATGAAATAAGGTTTGCAATTCCACCCATGTTTTTCTCATTTCCATGACTTTGCCAAGCAACTCATTAAAGGTCATTTCAATCCTAAAATCGGTTTCCTTATTGATAGGTGCCCCATCAAGTTTATATAAAAGGCTATTATCTCAGACATTATGAAGTGGAATAGAAAGTTGCCTAGCCAAAATTCCAAAAGGATTGGAATGGATGCCAATGATTACACTGCCACCAAGATCCACAGCAGCAAGTTTATCCTTCTTACCCATCTATTGAACATAAACTTTTCCCCCAGGTCAATTCCTCCTTTTTCTTAAAAAAAAAATGAAAATAGCAACAATTACGGCCTGTTATTGCTGCTACTAGCAGTTATGACATTTTTTTGCAGCTGTAATGAACCGCTAAATGTGTGAATTTTCTTCACAACCAATATCGATTGAATAGCGGTGGTGGTTGGTGCTAGTTGCACTAAATAGTGATCGCGACACCGCTATTACGCTGCTATTTGAATCCATGATATAGACTGCATCAAAGTTTCCATCCTTTTTGCTTATGTTTTATTTTCCTATTGGGGTCAATTTCGTGCTGCTTGTCTATTCATTGAATCAAAAGTTTACTCTCTTCATGTCTATTGTATCTTTTCTCATGCATGTGGCTCGTTAGGGATATGGATAATGAAACATATGGCTATTGTATCAAATTTAGTTGGAGAAGGTTGCCAAACCATAAGAAGTCCTTTCCGGTAGGAAGATATTTTTTAGAAGATAAAAATATCTTAATAGGAAGCCCAAGGTTTCTAGGTTTTCAATAATGTTTAATTTCATGCACATGTTATATCCGCACATTCATGCACATTTTTATGTTGATTAAGATAGATTATAATTTAAATTTCATGAATTTTCAATTTCCTTATTGATCGAATTTTAATACCTATTGTAATTTCTATACTATTTAATTTTTCATGCTTTTAATTCACTTTGAATATAATATATTCCCATGCATTTTAGGTTTATGCCATAATAATAATAATAATAATAATAATAATAATAATAATAATAATAATAATAATAATAATAATAATAATAATAAGGTTAAAAATCTCTACCTAGATGTTAGATGGAATTGAAAATAATGAATCGAAAAATATAGATTTATTATAATAAATTTTAAAAAAAAAACTTAGGCTATAGGAATGTTTAAATATCTTGTTGTATTATTTTTATTTTATAACCATGTTTATTTTAATTTATGTTTGATTGTGATTATGTAAGTACATATTCATGCATCCTAATTGTTATTTGCAATCTTAAAATCTCCTCAAAAAATAATAAAAAAAAAAAAAGGAAAAGGATTTTAAAATCTTTACTTAGAAATTAGAGAGAATTAAAAATCATGTTTTAATGATAATCATTTCATCTAGGTGTTGGAGAATTATTAAATAATAAAAATATAATAATAAAAGATTAATGAATAATAATAATAAATTTTAATGGGAAGGAAAATACATAAAACATAAAAATTAGTTTTTGAAAATTATGAAAAACTAGCTTGTTTCAAAAAATATAAAAATTAATTTTTGAAAATTATAAAAAATGAGTTTGCTTTGAAAATCTATTTAGATATTGAAGATTTTTAGATAGATTCATAAATTTGTGAAATGAAATTTAAATTTAAAACCTTGACCGAAACCTTAAAATCGAGACCCTAAGATTGAAACATTGAAATCAAAACTCTAAAATAAAATCCTAAAACCCAAATCAAAACCTTAAACTTAAAACCCTAAATGAAACCCTAAAATTAAAGTCCTAAATAAAACCTTAAATGAAACCTAAAACCCTAAGCCTTAGTTGAAACCCTAAATAAAAATTTGAAATCTTAAACCTACCCAAATCCCAAAATCATCCTAATTTTTAAGGATTTGTATGAAAACTTCTTATGAAATAATTTGCTCCTGAATGTTGTTTAAATGATGGAATATTTAGAAAATTTTATTTTATCAAGAAATTTTATATACTTTTGAAAATTAAAATAATAAAATTAAATTAAAAATAAAAAATGAGATTTTAAATATAAAAATTCACACCTAAACTTTGCTTAGAAGTTGAAGAGTTTTGATAGTAATTTTTATATTTAAGAACTTGATCTTAAACTCGCATCTTTTTGTCATTTAGGATACACATTTACGTTCATATTTGCATTTATTGCTTATATATATATGTATTTTTAGTTGATATTTATTGGTTGGCTAATTAATTAATTAATTATTGTTTAAAAAATTTTTCAAAAGTAAATAAATAAATTAAATAATATTTCGTAAATATAATTTTTTATACTTTGCCTAGATATTAGAGAGCCACAACTAATTATCATTTTCAAAGGATATTATTTTATTTTATTTTTAAGAAAATGTTGTGATAAATGTTAAACGAAAAGAATTATCTATAAATTCTACTTTTATGTTAGAGAATTTTAAGGCATTTTTTTAATTTAGATATATTCACAAGATTTTTAAATAAATATTTTAAAATAATTTTATTTCTTAAAAATAAAAGGGAATTATAACTAAATTTTATATAAAAACTATTTTTGTCCAAAACTGTGAATAATGCATGATTAATTAGTATCAATTTTGTGAGCATTACAGGGGTGCTAATTTCTTTCACGTGTAACTGATTCCTAATCTAATTTTGTTTTTGTAAATCAAAATTATCTTTTTAATAAATTTTAAACCGATTTTATTAAAAAGATAAAATTTTTAAGTGATCAATCATAGCCTAAAAAAGATTGATAACAACTTTTTGTGCTTTTACAATTTCAAATTTTACATTTAACGATCGAGTTTTTAAATTGATATGTTATGACAGTGTTGCAACCTCTTGATTTCTCATTCCAAGCGACAATCCATAAACCCTCACTCAGAACAGAGCTAAAGAAAATATGTATTCTTTTGGCTTTAGGTTGCCATCATATTCTCTAAAGAGAATTAGTTGTTTATCAAAGCTCTATGGTGCACCCTCTATAACTCTCTTTCTCTTTCGGTCCGCTGCAGAGAAAATTTGAATAGAAACAGATTATCCTGTAAGTCGTGATTTCCACCTCCCTTGTCAACCTCCATATCTGTTTGAGCGTGCTTTTGTATTGCTTCCTTATTGAATGGTCTCTTTGTAAAAAGCTTCCCTACTAACCAAGCCTTTTCCTCAGCATCCCCGTTCCTTGATCCCATTGTTTTTGTTGTAATCCCATCATTTTCTTTTTCTGTCAATAGCAGTTGCTTCCGTACTGTCTTTAGTTCTTCCTCCATCCGCCTTCTCTGCACCACACTATTCCTCTACTAGCTAGAAACAAATCTTACTAGACTTGTACTTAAAGATCATCTAACTAGCCAATACGAGGACTAAACTCTTGTATATTAAAACAAGACTTTACTCACCCCTAGAGAGAAACTCTCAGAGGACTCTTTAAATTATTTGATAATAAAATCTTAAATGTTTTAGGTTGATATAAGAGAAAACATTCTTAAAATCATCCTGCAAATGTTATACCTAAACAAAGTTTGTGAAATATTCTAACGTATTATCAATTAATTATTTAATTAAAAACTTTTTTAGCATAACTTTTAAGAAAATTTACCTTGTACTTAATAATTAAATAAATATCTTGCATTTTTTTTTAAATTCACAATTATGATGCACCATAAAAAGATAAAAAGAGGCAATAATCACATCAACGAACAAAAAGAACAAAAAATAATTTATCATTTTAGTAATTAGATTATTATTATTAATTTTATTTTGTACAAAAAAATATTTATGAATTATATTAGAAAGATTAAAATTAAAATTTTATATAAATAAAAAAATTATTTATATAATTTAACAATTAAATTTATTCATGCATGTCTTTATTTCAATAAAATTAACGTGTACTTCAACAAAACAACAATTGTGTCAACATTTTTAAAATTTTTTTTGATAAAATTAATAATTAAATTAAAATAATATATTATGTTTTTATTAATTATAATAAAAAAATAAATTTCGAATTTCAATATATTATGGAAACGTTATCATAATTTGACCAAAAATAAATTATGTCGGGGCTGTCTCGCCTTAATAGATATCCTTGGCACTATCATGTCCCATGACACTTTTCATTTTTCAGTCTCCTCTAGTCAGAGAGAGAGAAAGAGAGAGAGAAAGAGAGAGAGTTTGATGCAGTGCAGCCTTCATTCACTCATCACTGCCCATTTCTCGTGAAAAAGGCTTACGTTGCAAAATATTCTTTTCCTCTTCAGACCCGCAAATCTCTCTTCAAAAGCACCTGTACCCAAACATAGTACATTGTCTCTTGTATTTCTCTCTCTCCTCTTCCTTTCATTCTACTTTAGCCTGTGCCCTCTTTTGCTTTCATTTGTTTCTGCAAAAAACCTGATCATCTTCTTTGATCTAAAAGCACCATGCCCAACAACCCTTCATTTCCTCTTTCACCCTATGTTCTATGATACAGCCACTTAACTCTTTTGTCTCTTTCTTCTTGTTTTGGCTTTCTCTCCCACTGTAATACCCTGGAATCCTTTCTTTTCCTAAATCTAGGGGTTGCTTATTTCTTCTTCACTGCTTGGAGTCTGGCAACCTATCTAATGGGATTTCTTGGAAATGTTTATCCTTATTTGGGTTTTCAATCTCCGGGTAATCTCCAATTTTGTAAACCGTGAAGCTTTGATGAATAAGAAAGTTGGTGTTTTTAGCTCCAAGCTCGCTGCTTTTGCCTCCAAAATTTGAGATTTGGAGACGGGAAAAAAGAAGGAATCATTGAAAAGTAAAGTGGGTTGTTATCAGGAAAGTGATGTTATTGAATCTTTGTATCGAAGAAGAATTAGCACTGTAATAAAAGATAAGTTCAAATAATGGCTTTTTTGTACTGGTCATTTTTGCTAGTTGGGTTGCTATCAAAATCATTTCTTGTGGGTGCTCAGCTCAATGACCAAGCTACATTGTTAGCCATTAATAAAGAGCTGGGTGGTTTAGTAGGTTGGGGTGACAACAACACTGACTACTGCAACTGGGAAGGCATTCGTTGTGGCTTGAACCATTCATATGTTGAAAGACTTGATCTTTCTAGGCGTATGCTTCGAGGTAATATTACTCTAATCTCTAATCTTCAAGCATTGAAGCTGCTTGACCTTTCTTATAATAACTTCAATGGACCAATTCCTTCAGCTTTTGGGAATTTTTCTGAGCTTGAATATCTGGATTTGTCATTGAATAAGTTTGAAGGTTTTATTCCGGCGGAGTTGGGTGGTCTTAGAAATCTTAGATCATTGAACCTGTCAAACAATTTACTTGTAGGAGAGACACCTCAAGAACTTGAGGGGCTAGAGAAGTTGCAGGAATTTCAGATTTCTAGCAATAGATTGAGTGGTTCTATTCCACATTGGGTGGGCCTCTTGACCAATTTAAGGGTTTTCACAGCCTATGAGAACCAATTAAGTGGTAAGATTCCTGACAATCTAGGCTTGGTTTCTGAACTTAAATTGCTGAACCTTCATTCAAACCAGATTGATGGGCCAATACCGAAGAGCATTTTTGCCATGGGGAAGCTGGAAGTGTTGGTTCTGACCCAGAATGGACTCACTGGTGATCTTCCTGAAGCAATTGGTAACTGCATAGGCCTTTCAAGTATTCGAATCGGGAATAACAAACTTGTTGGTGTCATTCCCAGGACAATTGGAAATGTTAGTAGCCTCACATACTTTGAAGCAAATAACAACGATCTCTCCGGTGAAATTGTCTCAGAGTTTGCTCAGTGTACTAATCTTACACTGCTAAATTTGGCCAATAATAGATTTACAGGAATAATTCCTCTGGAGATCGGACAACTTATGAATCTACAAGAGTTGATTCTTTCTGCAAACAGTCTGTTTGGAGGTATTCCAAGATCAATTCTTGGGTGCAAGAATCTTAACAAGCTTGATTTAAGCAACAACAGATTTAATGGCACTATACCAAATGAAATTTGCAATATGACAAGATTGCAGAGCTTGCTCTTGGGTCAAAATTCAATCAAAGGGGAAATACCTCGTGAGATTGGAAATTGTGTGAAACTGCTTGAATTGGAACTTGGTGGCAACTATTTGAACGGAAGCATCCCTCCTGAGATTGGTCATATTCGCAACTTGCAGATAGCTTTAAATTTGAGCTTCAATCATCTTCATGGTCAACTGCCTTCAGAATTAGGGAAACTGGACAAGTTGGTTTCTTTGGATGTCTCCTGTAACCAGCTAACTGGTAATATTCCACCAGCATTTAAGGGCATGTTGAGCTTGATAGAGGTCAATTTCTCAAATAATCTGCTTGCTGGCCCAATACCCACATTTGCACCATTCCAGAAGAGTCCAAATTCAAGCTTTCAAGGAAACAAGGGGCTTTGTGGGGAGCCATTGAGCTTCTCATGTGCAAACTCTATTGGTTCTGACCGGGCAAACTACCACCACAGGGTTTCTTACAGGATTATACTAGCTGTTATTGGTTCGGGTCTTGCAGTTTTTGTGTCAGTCACTGTGGTGGTTCTGCTCTTTATGGTGAGGGAGAGACAAGAAAAGGCAGCAAAAAGTGTAGGCATTGTAGATGAAGGAACCAGTAGCCGACCAACAATAATAGCAGGGAATGTGTTTATCGAGAATCTCAGGCAGGCCGTAGATCTTGATGCTGTAATCAAAGCCACTTTAATGGATTCAAATAAAATCAACAATGGAACTTTCAGCACCATTTACAAGGCAGTTATGCCCTCTGGATTGGTTTTGTCAGTGAAGAGACTAAAGTCAATGGACAGAACAATAATTCATCATCAAAACAAGATGATTAGGGAGCTTGAAAGACTAAGCAAGCTCTATCACGATAATCTTGTACGACCTATTGGATTTGTCATCTATGAAGATGTCGCTCTTCTGCTCCACCAATATTTACCCAATGGCACACTTGCTCAACTTCTTCATGAGTCCTCAAAGCAGTTAGAATATCAGCCTGACTGGCCCAGAAGACTTTCAATGGCCATTGGAGTAGCAGAAGGGTTGGCTTTCCTTCATCATGTAGCAGTTATCCACCTTGATATCTCTTCCAGTAATGTCCTTTTAGATGCAGACTTTAAGCCATTGGTCGGGGAGATAGAAATATCAAAGCTTTTAGATCCATCCAAAGGTACTGCAAGTATTAGTGCTGTTGCTGGCTCCTTTGGCTATATCCCCCCAGGTAATTGACATTACTCACGGAATTATATGGTTTAAGTTTTACTTATCTGTTTGTGTTCTACCTTGTTGCCATTTTGTTTGGTCTTTTTACTTTTTTTTATTTATTTTTCTATGTTTTCATATAGAATATGCGTATACAATGCAAGTAACCGCACCAGGAAATGTCTATAGTTATGGGGTTGTGTTGCTTGAGATCCTCACCACCCGCTTGCCAGTTGATGAGGATTTTGGTGAAGGAGTAGACTTGGTGAAATGGGTTCATGGTGCTCCAACAAGAGGGGAAACCCCTGAGCAGATACTTGATGCAAGGCTTAGCACTGTTTCCTTTGGTTGGAGGAGAGAAATGCTTGCAGCTTTGAAGGTGGCTTTACTCTGCACTGACAGCACACCTGCCAAACGACCAAAGATGAAGAAGGTAGTGGAAATGCTTCAAGAAATAAGGCAAAACTAATTAACAATTATCACGAGATCTCTGCTTTCTGAATCATTTAGCAAGGTTCTGTTGGATGCGAATCCATATGGGGGCTTCAATTTTTATGTTCAACTTCATTTGAGAAATTGTCTTAAAAACTGGATAGTATGGGAGTCAGTGAGGTAAGTGTTCTTGGATCAAAGGTCTGCCTGGTTTGGGTTGGAAACCTTGTGTGTAAAAACACTTTGTAATCTGAGTCAGAGATGCAGACAGCATTGTTTGTTATTGCGAGGAGGGGCTCAGTCAAAATGAATACCGAGTTATATTGCATAAGATGCCTACAATTGTAATATCAAAGTTTTTGATTAATTCCAAACTTCTGTTAGATATGATTTTCTTCTTTAATGAACTTTCCCTCGTATACTAAAATATCAAATCCAATTCCTCATTAATATCTCCTATCACATCTATTAAGGTATTCTCCCAACTTTAGTACGCTTGCCAAACTGTTCTTTTCTGCATGTTGAATGTTGCATTGCGCAATAGTTTGATTCCTTTCTCTACCTAGAAGCAAAAAAGATCAGATGGAGAATGGGAAATGGGGGAATGGATTATGGTCAGATTATCCATGAAAGTCAATGAGAAGTTTAAGAAACCAATTCATTAATGTCATAGAAATAGTATATGACAATAAACAACCGATTGTCCAGGTTATTGAAGCAAAGAGGATCGATATGCATCTTTCCAACAACATTGATCTGCGTGCATGAAACTATCAAACTGGTTTCAATCTACTACAATCACAAGAAAAAGAAAGGGTGGGTGGGGAATTCAAAGCAGAAAACATAAAGTGCAGCAACAGCGTTACTATAAAGTGCAATTGATTGCTAGATCATGCAAGAGAGAAAAACAAGAGTGTAGTAAAACAGAAAATGAAGCATTGAAAGGATTCTCAGAAAACAAAGCATTCAAAGGAGTATTGTGCAATGCCAAAAGTAAGTTTCACTCCTCTACTGATGCCCCGGAGCCAGCTTGCCAATCTTCAAAAGCAATAGTACTTGGCTTTTAGAATCAAAGATAACTATTGATGCCTTAACCAACGGAGATGGGCTCTCGGATTAAGCTGCTTAGCCCTAGAAGATCAGATCACCATTAGTGGGTGTTAGGCTTGTGCTCTGATGCTTAAGTTAACACAGTCGAGGAGAGAGATCATATGAGAGAAATTGAGAGTGTATGCGAGAGAACTTGAGGTGGATGTATACCTTATTTATAAGGATGGAAGAACTAGGGATTTAAATGGCGGTAGTGATTACATTTTTAGTCGCATTACGTTTGTTATGATTACGAATACAACGGAGATATTCTCGATCATTGTAACTATCGTGATCGTGAATTTTTTTTAATTTTGCTCAACTTATTATAAAATATAATAATTTTAATTATTAATCATAAAAACTCTTATTTTATGATTTTAAAGTAATTTATATCATGTCATGTGTTTTATCTATTTAAGAAAAAATATTTATAGTAAAATATTCATATTTAAAAAATTACTCATATGATAATTAAAAAATAACAAGAGATAAAAAAATATGTAAAAAATAAATAAACATAACTAATGATATATTTAATTATTTAATTATCATACTCATTAAATGATTACCAAACTATGTTGCACATAAATAAGTTAACAAGTGATTAGGTATCTATCAATTAAGGCATCCATTAATTAAGCAAGAGCATTACTATTTATGAGCCAAGAAAATTACTTTTTTTGAGATTACAATAAATCAAACTTAACAGCCTCCACACAAAGGGCAATCTTCAACGACAATAGCCTCAAAGTTTACTTTCTTTGCCTCTTGACTAAATTGCATAGACTCACACCATAACTTCTCATCTCCTCACCTTTCATTCAATAATTTTTTTCTCTAGGCCTTCATCCTCATCATTATCTCTCTTTTTTTTTTTTTTCAATGTGTGCTCTCTGTTTGTCTCCCTTAACCTCAAGTCTTACTCTCTTATCTTGTTTCTCATTTTCAGTCCTACAAGCTCTTACCCTCTTTTAGCAGTGCACCATAGCTCAAACTAATCTCAAACATACAAAATCACTGCAAATTTAGAATTAAAAAAAAAAAAGATAATTTGAGTGCTGAATTAATTGCTTACCTTAAACTGCATGTGTTTGATCTTGATTGAAATTGAATTTGAGAGAATTGATGTCTCTGGAATTCTTAAGTTTTGTATGTTTGTTTTTTTTTTTTTTTGTTGAATTTGTGAATTGATGTTTAGTTTCTGACATTTTGTTTTTGTTTTAAGTTTTTAACCAAAGTCAAATGAAAAATTTTTTCTTGAATTTTTGAATGAAAAATGGAGTAGCAGGCAATAACAGACTATTATTACTGTTATTCAACGTTATGCTACAATTTGCGATCGCGATATGCTACTACAGTGGGGATTCAAATTCTCTTTTGCTTTTCCTTCAATAGTGATGATGGATGATAGCGCTACTGCGAAATAACAGCCGCTATACCACTATCCCACCATTATTTAAATCTCAGGAAAGAACCTAAAAGTAGAGGGCTTTGCCTTTAGCTACAACTTGTTTGGAACTCATTGAGGGATTAATACTTGATTTATATGTAACCAATGACTTTTATAACTAATTTCAATATTCAGAATGAAAATCCTTTATTCTTTGTATTTGGGAAACTCTTTTGATTCAGGATTGTGGTTTTGAAGGCACAGACAGTGCTAGCATCGAATTTTCTTCAAGGCCTGGTGTAACTTCGAGTAAATCTGTTGATTGTCACACATGAAACAAAAGCACTGCCGTAATTCATTAGTTTTGCACCCTTTTGGCCGAAAGAAAGTTGTTTTCTTGGGACATCTCGAGATTTGGTGTACAATGCTGCATGATCTAACACAAAATCACATAGTTTGACCAAGAGAAAACATGTGTGTGGAATTTGCATTTCGACCCTATAAAATTTATTTGAGTATGGTGAGATACACAAAAATTCATACTCGAGACCTATTAATCACTTATTGTGGTTATTAGATCAGATGAGGCTTGATGACTAACTCCTTGATGGAGAGCAATCAGAAGTCAGAAGAGGAGACAGACCATCATGAGAAAATTCATGGACTACTATTGAACCATTATCAGGCATTAGATTGTTCTTTCTTTAGGACGCATTGAAATAATTTTAAATTTTTATTTTGGTCACAGATAATAGAGTCGAGTAATTGTGCATAACATGAAACACTTGGGAAATTTAAAAATAAAGATAAAATCTATATGAATTTAAAATTTAATTTAATCGATTGATAAAGATACTTTTATAAGATAACATCTAAAAAATTTGAAATTCGAAATTTGAATTTTAAATTTCAATATTTCTAATATTTTTATTATTATTCTTTCCGAAAGATAGTTAAAATATCCATTCAGTTCATATAATTAAGTACTTATTCTTCGTTCATGCACAATCAACACAAAATAAATGAAATTGCAAATAGCAAAAGAAAGGCGCAATTGAAATAATGAAAAAGAATGAATACCTATCATTAATTCAAAAAATAATATCCTACAAATTGAAGTTACACTCCGGTATCGAACAATACATATCAAATTTAAACAACTGCCCAGTGTCTGTCAATACATATCAAATTTAACGAATTGTTGGCAGACATTTGGCATGGACTATAAAATCTAATTGACTTGTCTTTGCTTGCAGCTGTTGATCCAAAAGGCGCATTTGTCGCGGTCCGTGCACTGCCTCAGGCCCAGGAGTTTTATCCGAGGCTAATAAGGTTCCTTGTCCAAGGGAAACTAGACTGGACAGTTAGGGAGACAGGGCCCAAGCATGAAACCTTCCTGAAAGCCTTAAGGGCGATCATTGTAGTAGATAAGCTTGAAACCTTTTAGATATAAAGCAACTCTGAGAACATTAATCCATGTAAATCTAGAACCCGTTTAAGATAATATAGTAAAATTTCGAGCTCAAATTTGATTTAATATTTATTGTTTAAAATTTTATTCAAATTCAATCAAATTTTAATTTTTAAATTTGAATTTAATTTGAAATAAAAAATGAACTATTTAAATTTGTTTGATTAAATTTATTTACGAAATAAAAAAAATTTAATTTTAATACTCGATTTGAAACTTGATTTTTGTATTTGAACTTAAAGTTGAATTTGAATTTATATATATATATAATTAAAATAATAATTTTTTAATTAAAATAATAAAAATATATATTAAAACATAAAAATTTAATTAAACTCACGAACTATTCGAATTTAAATAGCTTGCAAGTAATAATATATGATTTACACATCTAATCCCAATCATTGATGCAAAAGGCTTCAATTAAAAATAAAGAATCATGAGCAACCATTTAGTCATGCAGTATACTCTTGCCTTGTATGAGTGCGAAGAATTTGACTGGCTGGTAAGGTCTTGGAGTACTGAGTGCTCGCGAGTGCATATTTTGAGTGAGCAAAATTTTGTTGGCTGGCCAGGTCAATACCGAGTGCTTGAACACCTTGTCGATGAAGGTTGACAACAGAAAGAGTCAATCCCCTAGGTTCAGGAGTCTCATAGGCCTAGAGTTTGGTAAAAATCCTCCAGAGTCTCCATGCACAGTGCACATATTTTCTGATCTTCGTCCGTCGAAATTGCCAATTCTTTTTCTTTTTCCATCTCCATAACTGAGTCCCGTTCCTCAGATAGAGCTCCATTGTCAATCTCAGTTAGGGCTTCAGTACACGTAAGTCATAGACTCCTAGTCACGAGCCATGGTCGAGAAGGCAGTTTTAACTTTTTTGTTCTTAATCTCTCGGTTCCTTATTACTCGCCAATCCATGTGTGTACTATCTTTTTCCTTTTGACCCTTGTCCACAAGTTTGACCTTGTCTAGGTAGATCATAATACAATGATCTTATCACTAATTCATGACGTACCTTAATCCAATCCGCACCAAACTCCACCGGCACGACATTGAAGCACTTTCAAAAGTACAACCCCCGACAATTGATAAGCATAACTTGAGACGAAATCGGGGCCACAAGTCTAGGTCTTGGCACTACAAAAAATTTGACATATAATGACGTTAAAAAAAGCATCGATAAAATCTTTAAATTAACAATATAGTATCATAAATCTTATACCGATAATCAAAATATGTATTTCGATAAATTTTTAATTGTCAATATACTCCTTATCGGTATAGATTTATATTGATGGTTTTTAAGGTGTCGGGATAGCTACGGTTCAAAACCGTCAATAAATGTATATCTATTGATATAGTATCTGTTATGTGTTCTACCGTTATACTTTTTACTGATGGTTAATACTCATCAATATAGAGTTGTATGTTTTAATTTTTCTTGCGTACACCGATGGTTAATAGTCGTTGGTATAAACTTGTAATTTTTTTTTACTTATATTGACGCTTAGAGCCCGTCAGTATAGATTTATATGTTTTAATTTTCTCACTTATACTGACGGTTAGCACATGTCAGTATAGACTTATATATTTTAATTTTTTTAACTTATATCGACAATTAACATCTGTCAGTATAGACTTGTAATTTTTCTTACCTATACCAACGTTTAGCATCCGTCAGTATAGATTTATATTTTTTAATTTTTTTACCTATACTGATGGCTAGAGATTATCAATATAGAATTATGTACTTTAATTTTCTTACTTTTATCGATGGTTTGAGATTGTCAATATAGATTTATATGTTTTAATTTTTTTATTATATTTTAGTGACTATTAGAATCGCCTAAAATATTTTAAAAATCAAGTACATCGGTATAAATGTTAAGACGTTGGTAAATTTTTTAAAAATTATATTTTTAATTATTAATATTAATTTATTTATAATCATA